CATGGACACTGCTGCCCTCGCAGCCATCAGTACCCAATGCAGTCAGCCCATCCAGGCATGGAGCTCACTCTCCTGCCTGCTCCTGCCCGTTTCTGCCTCCTCTCCTTCATTCCCTCCAGCCCAGCTGCTGCTCCCGCTGGTTTCTATGGGAACTCGGTAGGAAAACACGGCAGGGGACAGGCAGGGATGTGGGCATAGTGATGGGGTGCTCAGGGCCAGGATGCTGCAGTGGGATGGGTGCCCATGGGGCTCCCGGCATGGGCTGGGGGTGCCGGGGCTGCTCCCCCCAGAGCAGGCTCTGGCCGAGGCTTTGGTGCTCGTGTGATTTTCAATGCCTTGGCCAGCCCCAGTGGGATTCCTAATCCCGGCTCTGGCTCCCCGAGGAGCTGGATCGGGATGGGCAACAGGGATTGGTGCACCTCAGCTGGGCAAGGAGGCTCCAGCTCCACCAGGGCCACGCTGGGAAGCCTCATCCTATCCCAGCTGAGGGAAGGGGACGAGCGGGATGGTGCGGATCCGAACAGGACAGGAGCTCTCCTTCAGGAGGGATACAGGGAAACTGGAGCAGCCACGCACGCTTACAGAGCCGGGTGCATGCACACGCGTGTGCCACAGGACGAGCCATACCGGGAGCAACAGTGCAGCAGCCCCAGCTCCCAGCCGGGGGTGCACGGTGGGATGAGCAGCGGGGTGCAGATGCTCTTGACGTGGAGATGTGGGAGAAACCAACGGGTGCTGCTGATTCCCAGCTGCAGAGCAGCGCCTCAAACGGCCTCTCCTGCCTGGAAGATGTCTTCTCCTCCAGCAAATGCCACCCGGGTTCCTTCCATGCCCGATCCCTGGCACCTCTCCCCATGCCGGGATGGCCTCGCATCCCTTCCCTGCTGCTGCTTCCCTCTCCTCCCTGCACGGAGGGATTACGCGGCCGCTCCGCAGCCATCTGGACGGGGGAGCTGGGCCCCTGCACCCAAGGGACCGCGGCGCATGTGACGGTGGGATGGCGGGGCCAGGCAGCACGGACCAAACCCGGCATTCAGCCCTCCCACACCATGGCCCCACACCACAGAAAGACCCCGCAACGAGGTGATGGAGGGGGACCAGAGCGGGGGTCCCCACCGAGCCATGGGGGAGAACGGTCCCTGGGGACCCATCCGGCCGGGGTTTCACAGACTCGTGGCGGATGGAACATGCCCCCCATCATGTGATGAACCAGGCGCTGCTCCCTCAGATCCAACCGTGGCGCAACAAAGCTGCGATTGACGGCGCGGGGCAGCGGCTCCGGCACCGCCAGACACCTCCGTGCCGGGGGGGTCCACGGAAGGCATCTCACAGGCAACCGCATCCCCGAGGCAAGGCTCGCCCTTGCTCTGTGCTGCTCCTGGAGGAAGAGGAGGAGGAGGAGGAGCAGGAGGCTGGCGCCCTGCTCGCAGCAGCAGCGAGACGGGAGGCGCGAAGGCCAAGGAGGCACTCGGGTCCCTGGGAAGCGGCAGACGACATCTCCGGCTCCATCCATCACATCCCGGGCTCCATCCATCGCATCCCATCCTGGCTGCGACCTCAGCAAAGCAGCCAAGCACAGCGGGGTTGGTGGGGCTCTGACCCATGCCAGCCCCCCCCCGTTATGACCATAGGAGTTTCGGGGTGCTGAGCTCCTAAAGCCGGGTCTCTCCCAAAGCTTGGGTTCAAGCCTGGGAGACCCCATCGGGCGGTGGTGGGGGTCCGGGGGCACAAACCAGCACACAGCACAAGAACACACCGCGGGGACAGCTCGGGGGGGGGGGCTCACTTGTCACCCATAGCGCGGCAGGAGGGGTGATGGGGAGCCTGGTCCCCGCTGCATACCCTGCCCTAGCCATGGGGTGCGCTCAGAGCACCCCCGGCGGGCTGTGATCCCCCCCCCATAGACAGCACCCGCGCGTAGCCCGCTCTCCCGGTTCCCGATGAGGGGATGCTCCGCGCTCCGCAGCGCCGAGGAGGAGGAGGAGGAAGAGGAAGAGGAGGAGGAGGATGCAGGGAGCCGCGCTGCGGGCACTCACCGTCCGGGGCGGGCAGCAGCCGGGCCCCCCCCAGGTGCCTACGATCGCAGCATCCTCCCGGCCAGCCCGAGCCCGAGCCCGAGCCGGAGCCGCAGCTCGAGCGGGAGCTGGGCATGCTCGGGGGCCACCGAGCGGCACGTGACGCCGGGCTGGCACCGAGCACCGCGGGGGGGCAGCGCCGTCCCCCGGCACCGCGGACAACGGGACCGGTACCCCCCCGGCAGCACCGGGGAGGGGAGGATGGACCGAGATGTGCCCCCCCTTCCCCGGGGGAGCGCTGACAGCCTGCATCCATCCCAGCATCAGCGCGCTCCCCCTGCATCCATCCCAGCATCAGCCCGCTCCCCCTGCATCCATCCCAGCATCAGCCCGCACCGTGCTCCCCCTGCATCCATCCCAGCATCAGCCCGCACCGTGCTCCCTCTGCATCCATCCCAGCATCAGCCCGCACCGTGCTCCCCCTGCATCCATCCCAGCATCAGCCCGCACCGCGCTCCCCCTGCATCCATCCCAGCATCAGCCCGCACCGTGCTCCCCCTGCATCCATCCCAGCATCAGGGAACAGCCCGCACCGTGCTCCCCCTGCATCCATCCCAGCATCAGCCCGCACCGTGCTCCCCCTGCATCCATCCCAGCATCAGCCCGCACCGCGCTCCCCCTGCATCCATCCCAGCATCAGCCTGCACCGCGCTCCCCCTGCATCCATCCCAGCATCATAGAATCATAGAATAGTTCGGGTTGGAAAGGACCTTAAGATCATCCAGTTCCAACCCCCCTGCCATGGGCAGGGACACCTCACACTAAACCATCTCACCCAAGGCTATATCCAACCTGGCCTTGAACAGCCGGGACCATGCTCCCCCTCCATCCATCCCAGCATCAGGGGACAGCCACAGCCATATTTTCCCTTGCATCCCAGCATCAGGGAATCGACCATGACCACACTTCCCTCCACATCCTCCATCTCTTGGGGCAGGGGAGCCTGCTCGTCCCCAGGCAGGCTTGTGGGACCCGCTGCAGCCGATCAGGCAGTATCACTGGGATCTGCTCCCCAGGGAGAGGATACAACAGGCAGAGGACAGGCAGCAAAACACTCAACAACCACAGCTCGCTCTCTGGAGCTCGAAGGCCACCCTGGGCAGTGCCAAGGGTCAGTAATGGCCCAGGCAGGGCTGGGAGGACTTTTCAACAGCCTGGAGATGTGTGCTCTCCAGGAAGGAAAACCCAGTGGCTGCCCTTGATCCTATAATCCCCCATTAACCACCCGGCATACGGGGCTGAGGAGGGGGTTGGCTTTCACTGGATGCTCTGCCTCCTGTATCTCCCCCTCGATCCCCCCCAGCACTGGGTGGGATCATCCTTCCCTGGCAGAAGGACCCCAGCATCCCTAAAGCTCCACATTGTCCCCTCTCCAAGGCCACTGTCCCCTGCTCCACAGGCAGCAGGGACCTGATGGGGTGGCTCTAAGCCCCCACTTGTCCTCCTGCACCCTGAGCTGGCCCAGGCGGGTACCAGCATCACATGGAGCCAGCGGTTCCCTTCTCCACAGCTGGGTCCTGTCCAGTGTAAGGCATCCCTGCCCATGGCACAGGGTTGGAACTGCATGACCTTAAGGTCCTTTCCAACCCAAACCGGTCTGTTTCTGTATGCAGCAAGGTGCAGGGCATGCACCAGCCACAATGCCTCCTTGGGGGTACAGCAACCAGCTCAGGCCATGCCAGGAGCCTGCTATCTCCAGCCCAGACCTGCTCCACAGCGGCATTCCCTACCACCATGGGGCTCGGGGAATCATGGACATCCCCTGCCATGGAGAAGCATCCCGGACGCACTGCAGACACGAGCTCCAGCCTGCCCGGGGGGGGGATCCCCACCATGGTGATGGTTATGGCTGCACGACTCGATGTGGGGCTGATCCAAGGACACCTTGGCTCTGCTCGACAGATTAGACCGGATAATCCCGGTGCTTTCTGCAGCCCTTGGGATCTTTGCTCTCGCTGGGTTTACGGCTGTCTGAGCACACAGAGGGACCTGCAGATAGCAACGGGCTCAAAGATCCCGTCTGGAACACCCTCACCCAGCAGGAGCTGGCTCACAGCCCTGCAGCTCTGTGTCTAGACACCAGCATCACCCCGCCAGGGTCCCAGCTCCTGCACTGGAGGCAGGGATGGGGTGAGAGGCAATGGGGAGCAACCTGCTGGGATGAACCGGTGCTCCTGGAGCAGCACCTCGGGCCAGAGCCTCACTGAGTTACGCTCAGCGCAGCACCACCTGCCCTGGGGACCCTGAGCTCCATCCCAAGAGCATCAGGACTGCAGAGCCATGCAGAAAGCCCTCACTGGGCTCCAGGGGACCGTTCCCTGCAGGCTGATGCAGGGTGGGGGCTGCTTGGCTTGTCCCACGCCACCCTGCAGCTCCCGTTGCCCTCAGAACACACATTTGCATCTGGAACGGTGACTTGGCACCAGAGCTGCCTCCTGGGCCTGTCCCAGCAGCTGGGTGCAGGATGTAGCCCAAAGCTGGGCCTGGTCCCTGCTTAACCATGTACAGGGACCACCGCGGCCGTGCAGGGACAGGTAACACCAGCCTGGCCTCAGAGCACATGGAGCCAGGCTCAGAGAGCTGGGCTGGGGCAGCCTGGAGAAGAGAAGGCTCCTGAAGGGGAGACCTGAGAGCAGCTCCAGTGCCTGAAGGGGCTGCAGGAAACCTGGAGAGGGGCTTGGGACAAGGGATGTAGGGACAGGCCAAGGGGAATGGCTTTAACCTGCCCGAGGGGAGACTGAGATGAGCTCTTAGGCAGAAGCTCTTCCCTGTGAGGGTGCTGAGGCGCTGGCACAGGGTGCCCAGAGAAGCTGTGGCTGCCCCATCCCTGGCAGTGCTCAAGGCCAGGTTGGACACAGGGGCTTGGAGCAGCTGAGGGTGGGAGCAAGAGGCAGAAGCTTCTCCCCCAGACCCCTTCTCACTTACTTGATGAAGTAGAAGCCCCCGTGCACTGTGGTGTCCACCTCCCAGCCTCGGGGCAGCCCTGGAAGGACAAGGCAGAAGCAGGGTCACCCTCCATCACCCCAAGACATTGCCCTCCCCACTGTCACACCAAGGTCCCACTTCACCAGGAGCAGCCACAGGGAAGGGTAGGGGAACACAGGCAGGGAGCTCCAGGATGCTTCTGACCCTTTCAGGATGCTCCCGACCCTTTCAGGATGCTCCTGACCCTTTCGGGATGCTCCTGACCCTTTCGGGATGCTCCTGACCCTTTCGGGACGCTCCATCCTGCCCTGGTGGGTTCCTACATGCTCAAACTGCATTTTTAAAGCAGTTTGGGTCCCCTCTCCATCAGTGACAGGTCTGAGACCACAGAAGAGTCTCTCTGCTGAAGTAGACTCTTAAAAGCTCCCCCGAACCCCCCTGTCAAGCTGGATACCCCATGTCCAGGAGATGGGGCACGGCTGTGCACATCAGTCAACCCCTCTCAACCCTCCCCACATTCAAGGATCAGCTTTTTGGGGTCTCCATTGCATTGCTGGGGGCTTTCACGCCATATCTACAGGTTCCAATGCCTGGGGAAGGCAAAGAGCACCCACCAAGACCCAAGAGCCATCCCTTACCAGCACAGGAGAAGTGCCCGCTCTGGATGGAGTAGCCTGTGCTGGGGTGCACCCAGCTCGTGGACTTGGTCTCATCACTGTGGAAGACAAGGATCGGGGATGTCAGCACCCAGGGAGCCCGTTCCCATCACCAAGGGTGACTTTTCCAGACAAAGGAATGGAAGGATCAGGTTTTAGCATCCACCAGGCTGGGGCAGCAGTGACCCAAGGAGAAGAGGGGTGGAAGAGGGATGAGCGTGCGCTAGGAAAGCAGCCAAGTGCAAAGGTTTGCAGCAAGGTGTTCCCACCCCAGACTAAGCCCCCCCTACCCGCAGCAGCCCCCTTACACCCCAGCTCAATCCCCATCCCGCAGCCACAACCGTACTTGATGAAGAAGACGCGTCCATCCCCGCAGACGCCGTAGGTCCACCTGCCCGGCAGGTCCAGCCAGTCGATGTCATCCCCCATGGGGACAGCAACGGGGCGAGGGGGCTCAGGCCCAGAGCGGGGCCAGCGCCCGGCTTGGGATGTGCCCAAGCACTCCGGGTCCCCCCAGGAGTTTGCTCAGCTCCGAGCTTCCACCCGGGCTCTGTTTGCTGCGGATAACCGAGGAGGGAGGGAGAAGGAAAGAATTCCCAACCAACCCCATCAAGTTAACCCCCTCGGAGCTGCGCTGACACCCTGCCTGCGAGCCGGGCTGCTGGGGCACAGCTCTCCCCATGACTCTGCAGGGCTCAGCCCCCGTCACAGCTTCCTCCCGCCGCTGCCTACTCGCTGTAATTACCACCCATTAACTCGGGGTGAGTAATTACGGAGCGGGTACTTCCCTCTCCTGTTCCTTTCAAACAATGGCAGGTTCTGCTGCCCCGTCTGATGTCGCAGCCAAGCCCAGGCTGTATGTAGGGCACCCTGATGATTATCTGCAGCGCTTTCGGAGCTGCCCGGTGGGTATTTTCTCTCTGCCTGTTCTTAGCCCTCAATTAAACGGCTTTTAAGGGGAAAGGTGGGGTCCGGGTGGCTGCGAAGGAGGCAATTGTCCTCCTGCCTCAGCGGCGCCTCGGCAGAGCTTCTCATGGCACAAGGAGGAAGATGCTGGGTCAGGCCTCAGAGGTGGAAGGGAGGGAGCTGGTCCCCACAGCAGGGAGGAAGTCGGCTGGAGCTCATTCCTCACATCAGAGCCGTTCCCTGCCAGGATTCAGGGAAACCAGTTCCCCTGCAGCCTCGGGAAAGCTCTTCCTGTGCTTCTTTGAACACCGGGTGAGAAAAACACGTCCGGTGAGTCCCAGCGAGCCCATCACAGAGCATCGGAGCGGACCCTGGTGTCGCAGGGAGCGATGCCACACCAGACACCCCATTCTGTGTCCCACACGTGCCGTGGATAGGACTTGAGGAGGCCACAGGCTCCCGTGGCTCACTGGAATGACGTTGTGCATTGGGGTTTGCAACACCGGGCTTTTTGCCTGGTGGGAACAGCCTGACACAGAACCTGCCCCGGTTTGACCCCAGTCACACCACTGCTATCAGTTACCATCAGTGAACCCATCCACAAAGCATCAATCACCACCGGATTAACGACCACAGGAGCCCCGGGGCGATGCTGCTGTGATGCACCCCAGGATTAGGGGCCTTGCTCTGCTTCTCCTGTCAACACTCTGCCTCCATAGAGCTCAACACCCAGACCATAGCGAAGAACAATGCTCAGCGCTTAAAGCAGCTCCATGCAGTGGTGCTGCACCTCAGAGCAACTCAAAACCAGGCGCTGGGGATGGAACTGCTTCTATTGTGTATTGAACCCATCGCCCCTCGGCCCCTCTCCAGCATCCTTGTAGCCCTCTTCAGACACTGGAAGCTGCTCTGAGGTCTCCACGCGGGTTCTCTCCTCCAGGCTCAGCAGCCCCAGTGTTCTCAGCCTGGCTCCATCCAAAGGCACAGCGAGTGCCACGCTCTGAGCTGCGGGCAGGAGGACGCCTGTCCCCGGCTGCTCCTCACACCCAGCCCATTGCGGGTGACCTGCCCTGCCAAGGCAGCAGACAGCGGCCGAGGACCATCCCTGCGTGGGTCACGCATCAGGAATGTCACAGAACGGGGCTGTTGTTGCGCTCACCCCACATCTGTGCCCATCCCTCCACAGGGGGCTGGGTGGCCACGGGCTCTGCAGTGGCCCTGGGGTGGTGGTGGTGGTTGTGGCTGCACATCCCTGCGCTGCTGTGCGGTTCTGGCACCATCTCCTGGACAAAAAACTCCATCAACCAGACCTGAAATGCAACTGCAGGGCGAGCCATGTGCTCCCATGGATGCAACCCGTGCGTTGTGCCTCCTGCCTGCCTGTCAATAGACAACACTGTAAGCTCAGGCTGTCGTCTCCTCACTCTTTACCCCACAGACTGCCCATATGGGGACACCACAGCCATCGCACCCCTGTGCTTTGTGATGCTGGACAAGCAGGATTTCTCTGCTCCTTCCCATCTTCCCCAGCTCAAGCACGGAGCTCAGTCACCACCTCAAGCGAAAGAGCTGCTAAGCAGAAAAAGCCTAATTGCTTCCTACCCTTTCTATGTCTGGTTGTAAACTGCCTGTAATTTGATAGATGGTGCCAGGGAACGCTGCTGCTGGGGTTGCTGCTCCATAGCACAGACACCCGGCTTGCAGGCAGACGTTTAACAGCCTTTTAGCACCAGAATAACACGTTTCCCACCAGGCACAGCAGCCCAGCGCTCCCACATCCATCCCCAGCACTCCCAACCCGCGTTACCATAGCTCCAGCATGGAGAGGTGCCAGCAGAACTTCCCTCCGGCTCTAGACGGGAAATCTTTACACCCTGCTTCCCCTGTGCCGAAAGCCTGGCTTCATTTCACATCTGCACTACCTCCGGAACCTCAAACAGCGAGCCTAGAACAAGGAGGCTGCATGAGAAGGGGGAAAGGTGCTGAATCCAAATGGCCCTGGTGCTGGGTCTTTGTCTCTTCTCAACACAAAGTCCCTGCGAGAGAGCTGGGCCCGTGTCCCAGCCATTCCCAGCCCAGGGCTGCTCTTCGCATGCAAAAGGGCTGCAGTCTGCAGCTATTTTCTGTTCCTGGTTCCTGGAGTGCCTCCTCTCTGGGTGATGGGCAGGGAAATGGGGCAGCGGCTCCCACAGGCAGGGAGCAGCTCCCACTGGGGGTCACACAACAGCGGGGTAGGAAAAGCCGCTCCGGCGCAGCTGCATCCATTACACAAACCACAGACCCATCAGCACCAAAGCCCTGTTTTCCAAGCAGGACCTCTCTTTGCTCTGCAGGTATCGGGTACTCATCGTGGCAGCAAGTTTCCCTTTGTACCTGTGGCAAAGCCAGCTTTAAGGTCCCTTCCAACCAAAACCAGGCTGGAGCTCTGTAACTTGAAAGCTCGCCCTGCAAACCGTGACTCCAGAAGAGGTGTGACCAACCAGCAGCCCTTGGTCTCATTCCAGACATTCCTGCACCGTGACTGTCCCACGTGGAGCAGGGATAGTGAAACCAGGGACTCAACAGTGGCACCTCAGATGTGTTTCAGTGCAAAGCCTGAAAATGCTTCCAACCCCCCCTCAAAATACCTTCAGACCTGTGCAGTGCTCATTGTACTTCAAGTTACACAAACCAAGGAGCAAAGTAACCCCAAACCTCAACACTCTGCTCCAGTGAGGGCAACAAGAAGTGACTTCCACGTCACCTACACATGGTGAGCTCGCAACGGTGCCACCACCATCGCAATCAACCATTGCTTTACCACCTAAAACTCCATCTACCTACTGGAGCGCTCTCAGGCACCCCAGAAACCAGCTTCCAAAGCGCAAACATCAAGCCCCTTCTCCTAAGCCTACGGTGCCAGGAATGAAAGCTGATGCTGGAACAGAGAAGAGACCTCTAGCAATCAGCATGTACATTAAAATCACTTTATTACTATAACAGTCTTACATTTGGTAAAGATAAGCAACCTGTAACTACCATGGCTCTGCTCCTCCTGAAAAAGGAAGTGCATGGGAAGGTTGAAGACAACCAGCTAAGTAACTACGTTTGTCCTAGTAGCTTGTAAGTAGGAAGATGTTTTCATTACTGTCCTTCAAATGTTTCCATCCCATCTTGCTTGGGCTGCGCTTCGAGACTGAGGTCTCCATAATTCAGCTGCATCAGTAACAAACAGCTTTAGGAAAACCCATTTATAGACATTCCCCCCCCCTGGTTTCCAGTAAAAAGCTACACAACGCATCCAGGAACAACCAGTCACCACCTCTTACATTCAGATTCCCAACAACCAGGACAAAGTCCAGTCTGAGTTTTCTCCACTGTGAAGATACATTTCTCTTGTCACTTACACAGAAGCGAAGCAGGAGCAAGTCCTCCAACGCTGCAGGAATTTCAGCAGCATCACACCGAGGACAGGATCTGGGCCCCACAGGTCCCAGAGGCAGTTCTTTTACATGCATACAGACAGGAGGATGGAGGCCGAGCACCCATGGGTGTCTTCAGATCCTGCTCTTTTAAACTTTATGAAACCAACAGGTAGTGAAAAGAAACAAACCCAAAATGAAACTAAAAGCGCCTTCATTTGGCCTAAAAGCAAATACCTGCTTTAGGAAGCTGTATTTAGACAAAACCAACTCTCAACTCCACAGCTTTGTGAGGAGATGCTGAGCAGGAGAGCATCACCAGGAGGGTTCACTGGGGGCTTCTGCCCGGCAGGTGGCACTGTCAACACAGGGATTCCATCCCTAAAGCGCAGCATCCTGTGAGCCCAAGGACCATCAAAGCCAGACCTGGATACAGGATGAAACAACGTTTGTCCATATAAAAGCAGAGAGGGAACATTTGCACCTGAATACAGTCTTTAACCGTTCAAAAGGAGACACAAAAGTCATTAAAAGCAGCCTTCTGGAGCGTGTGATGGGATGAAATACATCCAGCAAGGAGGGTGCGTGAAGACATTGCATCAGCCTAAGGACACACTGGGGGTACCTGTCATGACAAAGGATCTACCAGAAGGGAAGAGGAACTCACAGCACACGGAAAAACCCCAAAGCCTGGAAACCGCAACAAAAACACAGGAACCGAATGAAAATGTACTAAAATTTAATCATTCATAAAAGCTGTAATTTAATCTGTGACAGTAAAACACAAGAAGCAATATTAGAGTTGGTTTAGTATATTATATATTTTTGCTTTTAAAGCCATAGAAATCAGTTATCCCAGGGTATTCTTTTTTTTTTTTCCTATAAAAGACCCATTTTTCCAAAGCATTATGCACAAACATTTTTAATTAGAATATAATGGCAGAATGAAAATAATGATATTCTGGAAACTTTTAAATATAAAATGAAGTCAATGACTCAAAAAGTTATTTGTTGCAGTGAGTGCAAAGGGAAACTTCAGGGAATAGAGATCTATCATTACAGATATAAAATATAATGGTGGGACATTTTTAGTGCTTGATGGGGAGAAATGACGAGAAAATGGTCAATATGAAGTTTTAAT